AAACATTATTCAGAAAAAAAACATTTTTATAATTCTTTTTTTATTTGTAAAAAAAAAGTATTAATTTGAAGTTATTTTATGATTTTTAATTCGTTTTTATTTTAATTCGTTTTTTTAATAAAACAATTTTTAGAAATCTTTTTTTTTTAAATTTTAAATTTAACAAAGAAAAAGTTATATTGTTTAGATAAATACAGAATATTTTTTGTTTTGTTTATTTTTTCAATATTTTAATTTTTCTAAATTGAAATAAATTTATGGAATTTATTTTATAAGTTATTCAAACATTTGTTTTTGAAATTTCTAATTCTCTTCATAATTTTACTTCCTTTCTTAAAAAATTTTTCTTAGTTAAGTTTAAAATTAAGTACCTAAAAATAAATTAGTTTAAATGCAATTTATACAAAAAGAAAATTTCGTGTAAAATACCTATTTTCTACTGGAAGTGTAACTTAAAAACTTTCCATTTCATTTGTATGATTTGATTGTCTATTTAAGCGCAGAATTTATATATGTATATTTTACTTTATAATTTAACTCTCAATTGACGTAAAGAAACTTTATAAAGGAACTACATTCTCAGGCAACAATTCTCTCATAAGTTTCTGATTCAGAGTTAATCTAAAACGTGCCATAACTGCTAAAGAGAACTTTCCAAAACTAAAGATAAGTTTCAGTAGAAAGTTTTAAAAAATTTAGTTTCTCTCACACAATCCTTTAATGAGTACTTAAACTTCATCTCAGTTCATAGAATCCAATGAAAAGCTCAAAAATTTAAGAAAAAATTCTTCTAAAGTGCCCACAAATACCTCTAAGAAGTCAATTTTCTCGTTTCAATATTGTAGTAGAATAATTGTTAATAATTTGTACTTTTTTATAATTTTGCAATATTTATTTAAGATTTTTGTTGATTTTAGAAATTCTTAGACTTACCCGAAAAAATACGAAAGATTAGATAAAATTCATTCATTATTGCTAGGCCAATTTTATTGGGAATTTTAATTTTACTATACTAATTAAAATTATAGGTTTCATTCTTATCGCAATTTTTGTTTCAATAATAATATTAGAATTCCAAATTCTAAATTAAAATTCTTAATTTTATTTGAATTACGATTTTAATTCTAATTAGAATTAGAATTTTAATGAGAATCACGATTTTAATTCGAAGTACAAGTTTAATTTTCTTTCTAATTCAAATATGAATTCTACTTCTAATTCTAATTCATGATTATAATTATAATTTTAAATTAAATTTTAATTCTAATTAGACTTAGAATTTTAATTAGAAGTATAATTCTAATTCTAATTCCTAATTATAGTATAGTTATAATTTTAAATTTAATTTTAATTCTAAATTAAAATTCTAATTTTCAAATTTTATTTTAAATTTATTACTAAATACTAAATTCCTAATTTAATTAGAATTACGATTTTAATTCTAATCAGAATTTGAATTTTCATGAGAATCACGATTTTAATTCTAAATAGAATTAAAATTTTTATAAGAATCACGACTTTAATTTTAATTAAAATTATAGTTTTTATGAGAATCACGATTTTAATTGTAATTCCAATACGAATTGTACTTCTAATTCTAATTCATAATTTTAATTTTAATTCTAACTAGACTTAGAATTTTAATTAGAAGTATAATTATAATTCTATAATTCTAATTCTAATTCCTAATTATAGTATAGTTATAATTTTAAATCTAATTCCAATTCTAAATTAAAATTCTAATTCTAATTCTAATTCTAATTCTAATTCTAATTCTAATCTAATTTTCAAATTTTATTTTAAATTTATTACTAAATACTAAATTCTTAATCTAATTAGAATTACGATTTTAATTCTAATCAGAATTTGAATTTTCATGAGAATCACGATTTTAATTCTAATTAGAATTAAAATTTTTATAAGAATCACGACTTTAATTCTAATTAAAATTATAGTTTTTATGAGAATCACGATTTTAATTGTAATTCTAATACGAATTGTACTTCTAATTCTATTTCATAATTTTAATTTTAATTCTAATTAGACTTAGAATTTTAATTAGAGGTATTTAATTATAATTATAATTTGAATTCTAATTCTAATTCCTAATTATAATATAGTTATAATTTTAATTCGAATTTTCATTGTATTTTAGAATTAGATTTTTAGTTCTAAATTGAAATTCTAATTCAAATATAATTTTCAAATTTTATTTTCATTTTATTTCTAAGTACTAAATTCTGAATTAAAATTCTAATTCTAATACTAATTTCAATTTTAATTATAACACCAATTTGAATTCCCTTTCTAATTGTGATTCTACTTTCAATTCGAATTTAAATTATAATTCTTTTCACGAATAAAAAATTAAAAAAAAACTTTAAATATTGAGTAAGAAAAACTACCCGCTATTATATGTATTCAGGAAAAGTTAACGTACTCTTTAAGTACACTTGAATAGGATTTCAAGTAAGTGCATTCTTATAAAGAAAAAAGTTAAATAAACATGTGACAAAGATACTTTTCTCGTAATCTAACTTGAAAACTGAAGTAGTTTCTTTAAAAAATAGATCCGAGAAAGGCTTTAGATACCACCACATTCTGAATTTCCCCGAGGAATAAACTTTATCGAACTTGAATTCAAATCAAAACTTTAATAAAAATTTAATTGTATTTACTGTGCAAAAAAGTTTTCTTCAATTTCAATAAGCAAAAAAAAAAAAAACATTTACAATTTATTCCTTTTTTTTGTTTAAGTACATAATATATGAGAAAAAAGTTTCTTTGTTTGAAAGAAATTATTTCATTTACTTTCTTTTTCTGTAGTGAAAGAAACATTTCTTTCGTTTTAAGAAATCGAGATCTAAAGAAATCTTTTACTTGAATCAATGAAATAAATTTTTATTTAAATTTTAAAAAATTAAAAAAAAATATTTTATCCATTTCCTTTTTATTATTTTCAAATTCCCTTTTAAGATTTAAGATAAAATCTCCAATTTTATTTAAAATTATAATTCTTTAACACAATAAATAATTAATTAAATTAAAAAAAACTAATTAATAAAAAAAATTCAATTAAATCTTTTGAAAAAAATTAAATTCGCAGAATTGTTAGTTAAAATTTTAATTTTCAAAGATTTTAATTTGAAACCTTTTCAGAATTCAATTATTTCTAAAAATTTATGCTATAATGACTTTAATATTCAATTATTATCAATAAAATATTAACTGAAATTCATTTTTAAACAAATTTTTATTCGAAAATTCAACTAGAATTCAATTATTTAAATACAAAATATAATAAATTATTGAATCTTCATAAACAATGTTATCAACAAATTTTTAAATAATTCAATTATTTTGACAAATTGTAATAAAATTTTTAAGAATAATTACATTTTTCAAGAAATTCGATTAAAATTGAATTTAAAATAATTAAAATTCTGTGATGAGTTTTATTATTAATAAAAATATAATTATTGAAAATCATTGAATTGAGGACATTTTTTGAACATAATTGAAATTTTTGCCGAGAATTTTATCAAATTTTTTTTAAATAATTGAATTGATTCGAAGAATAAATATTAGGTATATTATTTATGAAAATAATTAAATAATTGCGAAAAAAATTATAAAAAATTTGCAAATCATTGAATTCTTGTCAAGAATTTTATCAAAAAATTTGATAATAATTGAATTTCTTCGAAGAATTTCATTATTTATGGAAATAATTGAATTTGGAGAGAATTTTATTGAAATTTTTCATAATCTTAATTAAATTCTTTTGAAGAATTTCTTTCAAGTTTCTTGAAAATAATGTAGTTTCTTTAATAATTGTAATTTAAAGTTTTCAAAGTAATTGAATATTATATCAACAATCTTTTTCAAGTTTGTAACAATAATTCGTCTTTCTTGATAATTGAAATTAAACATTTAATTCTTGAATTTTATTAAAATTTTTAGAAAATAATTGAATTCTTTTGAAAAATTTCTTTAATTTTTATTTATTAAATACAATCGAATTTGTTAATAATTGTATTAAAAATAATTGAATTCCTGAGAAGAATTTTATTATTTATGAAAAATAATTTAATTCTTGCAATGAATTTTACTATTTATAAAAACAATTGTATTTTTTTTAAGGATTTATTAAAATTTTAGATAATAATTGGATTCTTTCAAAAAATGTTATTAGGAATTTTTTTAAAAATTGAATTCTTTCACGATATGTTATTAAAGTTGTATTAAAAATAATTGAATGTTTGCAAAGAATTTTACTATTTATAAAAGAAATTGAATTGAAGAATTTTGTTATTTCTCTAAATAATTTAATTTTTTTTAAGAATTTTTCAAAATAATTTAATTTTGGAGAAGAATTTTATTATTTATAAAAATAATTGAAATTTTGATGTGAATTTGAAAAAAGTTTTGAACATGATTGAATTTCTGCAAAGAATTTTATTATACTTTTGAAAATAATTGAATTTTTGCAATTATTTGTAATTTCTCAAAAATTCTCCAAATTATATCGTTAAATTTACGAACTTTTCTTGCCTGTGAATTGAAATAAAAAATTATAGAAATTGTAAAAATTATAAAATTTGGAGAAAATTTAAAATTTGTAGAATTTGTAAAAAATTTAAAGTTTGTAAAAAATTTTTAATTTGTAGAAAGTATAAAATTTGTAACAATTGAAAAGTTTATATTTGTAGAAATTGTAAAATTTGTAAAATTGTAAAATTTGGAAAATTGTAAAATTTGGAAAATTGTAAAATTTGTAGAAATTGTAAAATTTGTAAAATTGTAAAATTTGTAGAAATTGTAAAATTTGTAAAAATTGTAAAAAAAAAATATTGAAACAATGAAGAAGCATATATTGAGGTGAAGCACCTGAACGATTATAATAAATGAATGAATGAATGGCGAATGACGTCAAGAATAATAAATGAAACAATTTGCATTAGTTTAGTGAATAATATGACAATTGTTATTGCACTCACCGGTCAACGGATATCGCGCAGAGATTTAAAATGCTTGCTGCGCAACTGAGAACATCGAAACTGACCCAAATATCACACATGAAGGATCCGAGAGGCCAACTTCCCAGAATTTCGTAGATCACTGCCAACGGCATTACTAATAGTGCCACACAGAGATCACTGACAGCTAAGCTCACCAGGAGGTAGTTGCAAGGCCTCCGCAGTTTCCTCACGAGGCACACCGCAATGCAAACCAAAATGTTTCCAATTACAGTTCCTATGACAATAATTCCAAGAAGTAGAGCGAGAATGATGGCCTGCAAAACATTACAACGAAAATTTTATTATTTTTCTTGCTTTATTATAGTTTTCACAAAAAATGTTGTTTTAATGCAAAAAAAAAGTTTTAATAATAAAAAAGAAATTTTTTTTATAAAAATAAATAATATTCTTTATTAAATAAACGGAGTAGATTAATTTATCGTTCAATAGATTTTTTAACATTTAGTAAAATTTTTTTTTTATTCTTGATACCAAATTTGCTTTAATAGATAAATAAATAATTCTACTGGTAAATTTGTCAGTAATTCGTAACTTAGCATTATTTGAATAGTAAAAAATTAATTAATAAAATTATTACTTAATATTATTTAATGAAACTAATTTTCAATTAAAATTATTCAACCAATAACTAATTTTTTATTTAAATTAGTTAACTAATAATTTTACTATTAAAAATATTAAATTCCTTAACTTATAAATCATAAACATCTGAGATTATTTAACTAAAAAAAAAATTTGTTAATAAAATTGTTAATCTAACAAGAAATTTGTTAGAAGATAAAATTATTAAATTATAATTTACTACCAAAATTATTGAACTAAAAAAATTTGTTAATAAAATTATTAGACTATCAAAAAAATTGTTAATAAAAGTATTAAACTATCAAAAAATATGTTAGTAAAATTATTCTACTAATAGAACATTTTTAAACATAATTGTTAAATAAACAAAAAATGTGTTACTTAATAAAATTTTTTAAGTAATAAAAAATTGTTAATAGATAAAATTATTAAACTAATTCAAATTTTTTAGTAAAAATTATTTTACTAATAGAGAATTTTTTAACAAAATTGTTAAAATAACAAAAAATTTGTTAGTAAATAAAATTTTTAAATTAGTAGAAAATTTGTTTATTATTAAACTAAATAACTAATAAATGATTCGTTAGTGAATAAAATTATTTAAATAATAAATTTGTTTTTAGGTAAAATTATAAAACTTATTAAAATTTGTCACCAAAATTATTGAACTAATTGATGATTTTATTTTTAAGTTAGTTAACTTATAGATAATTTTAATTTACTACCAAAATTATTAAACAAATTCTTTAACTAATCACAAAATTGTTAGTAAAATTAATTGATTAATAAAAAGATTGAATGTAAAATTATCTAATTAGGATAAAAAAATTTCATTCAAACTAATTGACGTTAATTAATTAATTTATTTCTTAGTTAAATTAGTTAACTTATAGATAACTTAATAAAATTATTTACCGAATAAAAAATTTGTCAATTAGATTAATTAACTAAAACAAGTAATTTTTTACTTTTCTAATTAAATTTGTTAACTTACAAATAATTTACTAGCAAAATATCGTGTTTACCAAACAAAAAAAATGTGTAATTAAAAGAATCAATTAATAGAAAATTTGTTAGTAACATTATTGAACGAACTAAAAATTTCCAAGTGAAAGTATTTAACTAAAAAATAATTCCTAAGTTGAATTATTATTTAGGGAAAAAATTATTCCTAAGTTAAAATATACAACAAACAGATAATTTTTTAGTAAAAATATCCTAAACTAATTTGGAAAAATTTAAGAAAATAAAATTTTTAACTACGACTGCAAAAATTGTTGTCTCTTTTCTATTTTTTTTCTCTATTTCTTCGTTTGTAAAGAAAATGCAAAAATAAAAATTTTTACTTTTATTTTTTTTTTATTTAAAAAAAAAGTAAAAACTTTTATTCTTTTATTTTTTTATTTCAACCGATTTTAATTCGAAGAAAGAAAAGAATTATTTTTAAATCTTATTTTTAGAGTGAAAAAAAATTTGATTAATTTCCTTTTTTTTTGAAGGATATTAAAACAGCAGAAAAAAGGATGAAAAAAAAACCAATTTCGTTATTATGTACCATACATTGATTCTCATAATCGCGTCGATCTTTGAATCTTATGGAGTTAATAAATTTAGTTTCCAGGAATGGAAAAGTAAATTTTTACAATTCACGAGAAAAATTATCAAAAGGTGTGTAGTTGAACAGGAACCGTGAGGCGGATTGCGTTTCTTTAGCGTGACAAGCCCCTTACGTGACGTGAACTTACAATTACCTTTGGATTACACAAGTGGAGAAATTCTCTTGCAATATCATACTAGTTAAATCTACATGCCAAGTTAAATTTTCTAAAATGCATTATGTGCGTTTTTCGCCCACAGCCACTTGGGGTATGTTGAATTTTTTTCCTTCTTCCAACGTTAAATAATTAAAATTAAAATACTGTGAAATTTATGAATTTTTTTAAATTTAAATCTCTTTATTTTGTTAATTAATTCATAATTAACTGCTAGCACCATGTTCCTTGTATTTTTAGATAACTAAATAATAAAAATTTATTTTTTTTGTTTTTTATTTTTTCTATTCAATTATTTTAAATTTTCTTTTCTCTCTGAATTTGAAAGTTTACTAATTTGAAAGTTAATGACTGACTTTTTGCTTTTTGAATTAGTAAATTTCAGTGATAAATAATAATTTCTTCTAATTTATTTGTGAAATTAAGAGAGTTTATTCTTATAATTTAAATTTGAAGCAAAACTTAAATTAAAATTGTTTATTTATTTATTTACTTTTGCTAAAAGAATAAATAAATTTATGAAAAAGGAATAATTAAATATAATGAAGAAATGAAATTAAATACTAAATTAATACCTAAATTTAAAAATAATTAAATGATTTAAAATTAAATATTTATTTATATATTTTAAAATATTTACTACACAATTATTGCAAAAAATGGAGAAAATATTTCTGTTCTAAAAATATATGCGTTTTCCACTTCAAGGCAAAATAGTAGCAATTATGTATTTTTTTATTTTCAAATTACGAGCTAAGTGTAATGTATGTAAATATTGTACTCGAAAAACCTTCAAAAAAAACTAAATAAACGCGATACTTTTTTTATTTTTAGATTCAAGTACAACACTAGCGTAATAAACGGGCAAAAAAATCACGTCTGACTAAAAATTGCCTTCAGTACTGAATTTACCCAAATTTTGTAAATTTTCTCCCACTGATATATAATTCCTACATTGGAAATAATTAAAATCGAAAAACTTTTCACCGCAAAAAGAAGTTGAAAAATTTACAAAAATCCCGTCTGATTGAAAACAAAAACAACTTTTACTACTGAATATTCAATTTAAAATTTTCTTTTTAAGAATTATATTTTTTTATTTATATTTATTTATAATTTTTTTTTACCTTTTATATTTATATTTATATTTTTTATTTATATTCAAAAATAAAAAGATATTTAAAAAAACGTCTAACATACAAACCTGCAGAATTAGATAATAAAATAGAAGAGAAAAAAAAGAATAAGAATAATAATATGTATTTTTTTAAAAATCTCATAGAAGAAAAATAAATTTTCAAATTGAATATTTATAAGAAAAGAAAATTCCTGTGATCAAATATTTTTTTTCCTGTTAGGTAATTCTTTTTTCTATATAGAAAATTGCTAGACGCAAATTTTTCTTTTCTCTCCTTTTCTTTCTCTCTTTCTCTCTGTCTATCTTTTCTCCTTATCTGAAACCGTAAAATTTCACAATATAATAAAAGAGTATTTTAACAAAAGAATTCCGAGTTATTTACAACGCCCGACATTATTTTCTATATAACTATGAAAGAGAGAGAGAGAGAGAAAGAGAGAATCCTAGCTCATATCTGTTCAGGATCAAGTGAAAATAGAACGTTTTCGTCAGACATGTGCGGGCTCTTTTATAGTGTAGAAAATGACTTTTCGGCACGGCAATTAAAACTTTTAGAAAGTATTTATGTCTTGCTGAAACGAAATCTCTTTTTCCATTATACACTTAGACAGGAAACCGCACACGTGTCTCACTCCGATCACGTTTAAGTGAAAATTATCGGGTTTGGTCAGACATACTTGTTTTATTATGAAAGTAATTGAATTATTTAGAAAAATTTTATTATTTATCAAAGTAATTGAATTTTAACGAAGAATTTTATTAACATTCTTGAGAATTCGCACTCGACATTTAATTTTAAAAAAAAGTAGCAAAAAGTAGCTTTCAAACTAAAAGAAAGTAGTAAAAAAGTAGCTATCGAAAAATTAAACTTGACGACCAAAAAAACTCGTTTTAGACAATTCACAAAACTGATAAAAATCCCACTCTATATTTTATTTTCCTGACTTTTTCCTAATTTTCATAAAAAATATTTACTTCTTTCTTATCCTGCTAATACATTAAATTCCTGCAACGAATTTTATTATTTACGAAAGAATTTAAATATTTATAGAAATAATTTAATTCTTGCTAAGAATTTTATAAACATTTTTAAATAATTGATTTCTTTCGAATAATTTTATGCAAATTCTAATTTAAATAATTGAATTCGTGAGAAATTTTTATTATTCATAAAAATAATTAAATTCTTAAGAAGATTTTAATAAAAAAAATTTTAAATAATTGAATTCTGTTTGGAAATTTTATGAAAATAGTAGATATAAAAAATTATTGAATTGAGGAAAGTTTTTAAAAATAATTAAATTCTGTAAAGAATTCTATTAAAATTTTTGACAATAAAATTGAATATCTGTGTGGTATTTTATTTATTTATTTATTTTTTAAATAATTGAATTCCTAAGAAGCCTTTTATTATTTATGAAAATAATTGAATTCTTGCGAACGATTTATTAGAATTTTTTATAATAATTCAATTTCCAAGAAGAAATTTATTAATTTTAAAAATAATTGAATTCTTCTGATGAATGTTGTTACTTATAAAAATAATTTAATTTTGCAAAGAATTTCATTAAAATGCCTTAAAATAATTGAATTTTCGAGAATAATTTTGTTATTTATCCATATAATTGAATTCTTTCGAAGAATTTTTTATATAAATAAGAATTAAAAAAAACATTTTTCTAAGTAATTGATTTTTTCAAGGAATTAAAATTAAATTTTTAAGAATAATTACATTTCTCGATCAATTCCTGTTATATTGTATTAAAAATAATTGAAATCTAACGATGAATTTTATTATATTTATGAAAATAATTGAATAGTTGGTAAGAATTTTATAAAAATTTTCAAAAATAATTGAATTCCTGAGAAAAATTTTATTCTTTATAAATATAATTGAATTTTTACGAAGATTTTACAACAAATTTTTAAAATAATTGAATTATGTTTCGAAATTTTATGAAAATAGTAATTATTAAAAATCATTGAATTGCTAAAAGTTTTTAAAGATAATTAAATTTTACCAAGAATTCTATTCAAAAATGTGTCAATAATTGAATGTCTGTATGGTATTTTATTAAATTTTTATGAAAATAATTGAATTTCTAAAAAGTATTTTATTATTTATGAAAATAATTGAATTTTATTAAAATGCTTGAAAATAATTGAATTTTCGTGAATAATTTTGTTATTTATCTTTAATAATTGAATTCTTTCGAAGAATTATTTATGTAAATAGAAAGAATTTGATTAAAATCTATAGGAATAATTCAATTATTTCGAAAAAAAACTTAATTAAAATTGTATTTAAAATAATTGATTTCATTCGAACAATTTTATTAAAATATTTGAAAATAATTCCTGTGAAAAATTCTAATAATTTTTTAATAATTGAATTCTTTCAAAAAAATAAAAAAAACTTATTTTAAATAATTGATTTTTTAGGAATTGCATTATTTATGAAAGTAAATAAAATAATAATTATAAATAATTTATTTCTTCGAAAAATAATCAATAATATGGAAATTTTGTTTTAAACAATTAAATTCTTGTGGAAAATTTTATTTGTGAGAATAATTGAATTTTTCTATTAATTAATTAAAAAAATGATTACAAATAATTAAAATTTTTCTATGAGTTTTATTATTTATGAAAATAATTCAATTCTTGCTTAGAATTTTATGAAAATTTTTTTAAATAATTAAATTTCCGTGAAAAATGTTATTATTAGTTAAAGTAATTGAATTATTGTAAAGAATTGTATAAAAATTTGGTTAAATAATTTTTTTTTCTGAAATTTTTTTAAAAATGCTATTCTAAATTAGTTAAATTCTTGTGGGAATTTTATTGTTTATCAAAGTAATTGAATTTTGGATGAATTTTATCATTTTATTTTTAATAATTACCGTAAGTGAGGCTAAATTCGCTCATGTAGGGTAAATTCGCTCAACCGATGTCTATTTTTTAAAATTCGATTAACATACTTTTTAGACAGAAATATTTAAGATTTACAATTGTTTTAGTTAATATAAATGCTAAACTTTAATTTAAAATTTATTTGCAGCAAATTCATTGGTAACTTTCAGTAGAAATTATATTTAAAACACAAGTGAATAATTTTCATATTGAACAAGTAGTATAAAAAAGTAGGGAATAAAGCTTTACTTCAAAATTTTTAAGTTGAATACTTCTGAACATTTCATTTCCTGTATCTCCAACATGATTTTCATAAAGCACAAAAACTAAAGCAATAAACAGATTCTGCAAAAAATCAATTTACAAAAAAAAATTCAAATTTGTTGTGTAAATTCGCTCAGGAAATAAGTCTATACAAAAAAGATGTTTGGGCCTGGATATTTTAAGTATGTTAATTACTTTAATATATAATTCGATTTTTTTAAATAATAGTACTCTTATAACTGAAAATTAAACGATTTAAAACGGTTTAAGCACTAAACTGTCAAACTTAACCTTGTTTTTTATGGTTACACAGGCACACAAAAAAATAAAAAAGTCAAAACCCAGAGGTTACACCCCCTATCCCCATGTTTTTGGGGTCGCTGAAACCGAATATGACCATGAAAAGTTTTTTTCATCGGCCATTTTCCCGCTACCACCCCCTTATACCTGCTCCCGGGGGTTGGAATTTCAGTTTAAAAAAAGTGGAGTAGGGTGTCTATTCATATGTTTTTTGGGTCGCTAAAACCAAAAAAGACTACCAAAAACAAATTCTTCCCTTCCTTAACCCCCTACAACCCCCTTAACACCCGAAAGGTGGGGGGTCAAAATTCGAATTTTCACGAAAAGTCGATTACGGTGTCTAACCCTACGTTTTTTGGGTCGATGAAACCAAAAAAAACTACCAAAATCAAATCCTTTCCATCCCGACCCCCTACAACCCCCTGCAATAATTTTTTTCAAATAAAACGAACCGATTTTTGGGAAATTGAAAATTAAATATTAATTATCAAAAATTATTGCAGGGGGTTGTAGGGGGTCGGGATGGAAAGGATTTGATTTTGGTAGTTTTTTTTGGTTTCATCGACCCAAAAAACGTAGGGTTAGACACCGTAATCGACTTTTCGTGAAAATTCGAATTTTGACCCCCCACCTTTCGGGTGTTAAGGGGGTTGTAGGGGGTTAAGGAAGGGAAGAATTTGTTTTTGGTAGTCTTTTTTGGTTTTAGCGACCCAAAAAACATATGAATAGACACCCTACTCCACTTTTTTTAAACTGAAATTCCAACCCCCGGGAGCAGGTATAAGGGGGTGGTAGCGGGAAAATGGCCGATGAAAAAAATTTTTCATGGTCATATTCGGTTTCAGCGACCCCAAAAACATGGGGATAGGGGGGTGTAACCTCTGGGTTTTGACTTTTTTATTTTTTTGTGTGCCTGTGTTATGAGTACGTTTGATTGAATGATTGAATCTTATTACTTATTGATAAAACAATATTAAATATTTATTCCAATAACTTTGTATATTGTTCTTAATTTTTTTCTTTATTGATTCTAAAGAATATTAAGTTTCATTTTTGCAGATTATAATATATTTTGCCAGAATAATAATGGTGAGCGAATTTACCCATCATTTAAAAGTAAAGTCGCTCACAAAAAAACGGCTCATAAATAATTTTCTGCAACATATTTTAATTTCTTTATGCAGTAATAGGAAAGATAAAGGGTTAAAGATTATATATTTTCAGTGCCAATGTTTATTTTCATCGTTTCCCGAAGTTATTTAAAAAAGAATTGAAAAATTGAGCGAATTTAGCCTCACTTACGGTAAATTGTTTTACGAAATTTTATGAAAATACTAAATATTGAAAGAATTGAATATCGAATTTTTTTTTGCAAATAATTGAACCGTTTTAAAGAAATTGATTATAATTTTAGAGAATAGTTTTTTGATTTCTAGTAGTGGCTGAAATCTAAAAAAAGCACTAAAATATTATCATAAGGTAAAAAAAAGTAGTAAACATTAGGTTTTAGTAGATGAGTGCTAAGCCTGATTCTTGAAAATAATAATTAATAAACAATAATAATTAATTATGTTCTTAATAAGTTTTTTTAAATTTTGAATTTGAAATTATTCAAAAATTGTAGTTGATATTAGAAAGTAAATTTCATGAATTACAGTTTATGAAACTGTTTGTTATGAAAAGTGAAGAGTTTATTGTTCCTTTTCTTTGAACTGGACGTGTGAGGATCATCAATATTCTATTCAAAATGGTTTGCAAAGCAAGGATAATATTATTCAAGTTTATCATCAACTTCCACTCATTTCTAATCCTTTATATAATTTAATGAAATATTATTCAATGTAATTTTCTGAATATATTATCATTTCCTGAACAAAACATAGAAGCGCTCTAATTAACGATTTGCATTTTTTTTCTCTCATTTTTCGAAAAAAGTATTAATTTGAAACTGAAAAAATTTAAAGAAACTAATTTTGTAAATTTGCAGAAAGGATGGAGTATAAAATTGTATAAAAAAAGGCTTGACCAGTGAAGTATAAAAGTGTAAAGTATAAAATATAAAATATAAAAGTGTAAAATCTAAAAGTATAAAATATAAAAGATTAAAGTATAGAGTATAAAAAATTTAAAGCATAAAAATTATAGAGTGTATAAAAAGTAGAAAATATAAAAGCAGAAAATATAAAATTGTATAAAGTATATATAAAAATTTTTTCTATCATTATAATACGAACCTGAGAAGTAGAGTAAAGAGAATGTTCGCCGGGAAATCCGTAGAGGAAATTGTCGTAGTCCTGAGTAGTAGTGATCGTCGTCAGGTTCAAAAACCAGGTGCTGTCGGTTGTTACGTACTTCCCCTCCATACGACCCTAACCGATAATCTGGAGCATTCCAAACGCTCCTGGTCACTCTGACTACGTCATACTTCCGAGCTTTTCGTCGCCAATCTCCACAGTAGATCAACGCACGCATTGAATTTCTTTTTTTTCTAGTCTTCCAAATTTTCTTTCAAACTTTCAATATTTTCAACTTGCTCCAAGCAATAACGCCTCCCCCTCATTCTCGCCATTCTGCAAAATCAAAAACAGAAATTCGCAAATTAATTCTCAATAATATTCCACTCCTCAAACATTGGTGTCTTTTTTTTCTATTTTGCGACTTTTTGAAAAATGTAATAAAAAGAAAATTGAATTATTATTATTATTATTACTATAATTTTTATTATTTCTATTATTAGTCTTATGAAAATAAATAAAAATAAATGTATAAAATTAATGACAAAAATTCAACAATATAATCTCAAAGACAAAAACGCTCCTTTTAAAAATAAAAATTCTATCTTCCAGATAAAATTTCAATTATTAAAATTGAAATTTTAGAGAGTAAAAGAAAAGGGAACAAAAAGGCCGAGATATAAACCATGCTATATTGTACGAAATAGTTTCGTCTAAAATTGCACTCGATACATTGGAAATTGCGGAAGGAAAAAAATTACGATTCTCTTTGAAGTTTTGTCGATCAAATAAATATATAGGATAGATTAAAAAAAAAAGAAATAAAAACCCTAAGATCAAAGGTTATTGAACAGAAGTTGACATGATTATATATCGTCTATAATATCTATATAGTAGTCCTAGAAACCTTGTATAATGCTTTTAGTTGCGCGCAAAGAGTCTGGAATGCGGACATAAAAATTTAATATTATTTCTTTGTTTTAACATCGAAGAAGAGAGCATAAATCATTCTATCGACATTGAATCTCCTTTTTTCTTCTCTGCACATTGGTTAACGCCCTCGTGTCATAAAAACACGCTCACGATATATTCTCCCAGTCCTTTTTTCCTGTAATTTTTTTCTATATTTTTTCTCTTTTTCTTTTTCTTTTTTTTGCAATGTAAAAACGAGAATATTCTGGCATGTTTCACGCATGGATCAAGAACAAATTGTACAAACCATATTACATTACCTGGGCAATGAGCATTTTCCAGCATTATAAATATACTCAAACTTATATTCTACATAATATAATATATAAATTTTGTGAATAAATAATATTAAAGTATTTTTTTATTAAAAAAATTATTATATGACATGTGACAGACTACGATATATTGTAACCTGAACTAAGTTTTATAAATGTGAATACAAAAACAGATTCTGTTAAAACTAAAAATAATACTGATCTAAATTATTATGCAAATTATTCTCTTTTTTATTTATAAAAAATACTAGAAAATTGTTAATTGTTAAAAAATTTTCATTAAAAAGTAGGAAATATACCAATTTCATACATAATTTTTATTTCTTAACAACAATATTGTTTACAAAATAATTTTTTTTCTTTTGGGATGAAAAACATTAGATATTCCCGTTTCTTAATATTTTTCTAGAAAATTATCAATTTTTATAAGAAAATAATTTGCATCAATTCTATTTCTTAATTTCAATTGTTTTAATAAAATTCAAAGTTTTTTAAAAATAAAGGAAAAAAAATGTTTATAAATTATATTTGTCAATTAGAAAATTTAATTGAAAATGAAACTGAAAATTTTTGAATTTTTAGAAAATAAAGGAAATAATTTTATTGAAAAAAATGTTAGTTCTGTTAAATTTATTTACGAATATCTTTAATTGTAAAATTATTCGAAAACAAAAATTTATTTTTTAAATATTTTAAATATTTAATTATTATTATTTTTCCATAGGAATTAAGATTTTCTAAAATTTCAAATTCAAAAATTTTTGAAATTAAATAACTTTAAAAATATTGTTATAAAACATGAAGATATCGAATGCTTCGAGTTGAAGACTCGGAGTGATCGATTCCTTTATGTTTTATAATAATTAAAGAGGATCGAGTGTTAAAATCATTATTTTAAATTATAAGAATATTGTTACTGTAACTTCTTAAAAAGTATTTTCATATTCTATTATTATCTAAAATTTTAACTAAAATTCATTTTCAAATCAATTTTCATTAGAAAATTCTACGAGAATTCAATTATTTAAATACAAAAGTAAATTATTGTATTAAAAATAATTTAAATTCTGCCATGAGTTTTATTATTTATGAAAATAATTGATTTATTGAGAAGAAACTTATAAAAAATCTGTAAATATTTGAATTCCTGTGAAATTTATATTATTTATGAAAATAATTAAATGTTTGTGTACAATTTTATTAAAATTGTTTTTAAATAAATAAATTCTTTTGGGTAATTTTATTAAAATAGTAGATATTGAAAATCATTGAAATGAGGAAAATTGTTGAAAATAATGAAAATTTTGCCAAGAATTTTATTAAAAGTTTTCAAATTAATTGAATTTTGAAAAAGAATTTTTTTATTTATAAAGATAATAATTGTGATTTTGTTCAGATTTTTTTGTAAATTTTGAACATAATTGAATTTTGTGATAAGAATTTTATTACTTTTGGAAATAATTGAATTTTTGCAATCATTTGTAACTTCTTCAAAATTAAATTTTTTTTAGTGTTTTTAACTAAAATTCTTCTATAAATCCATTATTTTTAATAATTAATTAAATATATATATTGACAAATTTAACTAATTTTAGAAGATTTTGAATTATTAAAATTTTTCAACAATCTAAGTTCATTAAAACTTTTAATTAAATTCATTCAACATTAAAATTTTATAAAATTTCAAATTGAAACCGTTTGAAGTTCATTTATTTATGAAACTTGTAAACGCAACTCTTTTAAAATTGAATTAATTTTGAAATATTTAAGTATAATTATTTATTAAATAATTTATTAATTTTATGATAGTTGTTCAAGATTTAAGTTATTTAAAAAGAAATTTTTGTTAGAAATTGAAAAAATTGAAGGTTTTATATTGGAATTCGTGTTAATTTTATAGTTTATGAGTCAAACAAAAAAGACACAAAAATTCAGAATTTTCTTATGAATTCTAAAAATTTAATTTCTTTCAGTACTTTTTATCAAAATTCCTGACTTTTCCCTGAATTCCCTAGGTCAGAATATATAATTATTATAATTACAATAATATTAAAACTATATATTCCAATTCATATTTCATTTTTATAAAAAAAAAAATTTGAATTAAAAATTTTTGCGTTCTATTTTTTTTTAAATTGCTAATTTTGTTTAAAAAAAAAAGTGAGAAGTCAGCCGAGCGCAAATTGTTGATAGTTTTTTAATATACGAAATAATTTTTTCTTATTAAAAAATATTAGAATTAAAAGAGGATAAAAAAACTCGTCGTTCATTTGAACACGTTCGACACTTTAAGATCATGAAGGAATAGAAATTAGTGGAAAAAATCTATAAGTGTTTTCGTAGTAATAATTTAGAGAAAATAATAAATAAAAATTACTTTAGTCAAATGATCAATTTAATTAAGACAAATTTTACAAAAAACGTCAGTTTTTTGTAAAATTTTTCTTAATTAAATTGATCGTTTGACCAAAGTAATTAATAGTTTTTTATTATTTTCTCCAAATCATAAAAATATTTTAGAAAATCGAAATTACTTTCAAATTTTTTTAACCTGCAATTATTTAAATATTACCTTGCTGACAATTTTATATACGAATGCAAAAAAAAAAAAAATTTACATAACTTTTTTTTGTCGCTAAAAATGAAATATTTCAAAACAACGGGAACAAAGCTTTATGAATTTAATAAAAAAGAGTGTAAAAAAAAGTTTTCTTTTTTTGACAACGATTTTAAAATATTACTTTTGTTAAGTTCTATTCATTTGTTTGAAAATAGTTGACAACTGTATGCAGCCGATGTTTGAAACCAAGTTTTTGCACATACATATATATATGCATACGTGAGATATTTGCTCATCCGAAATCTAAAGTTAATTGCCATATTTGCTCTTTCGATCCATGAAAGTGGAACTCCACGTTAGTCCACGACAAATATGTACATTATATATACACACTCTCTTCCCCTTCCGTTTAATCGATAATCTTTCTCGAATATACTTAAAAGCAATATTTACCATGATTCCTTTTTTTCTAAAAAAAAAAATTTGTTTCTCTTTAAATTTCCGCGGGCACTTATTTACAATTTATATACATCAATATTCAACAGATTTCTAAACACAGACAGAGTGCAGTGAATGTAAAATAAAAAATATTTGTCGTACACAAAATTTATTTACCTAAGAGAAAAGTAGATAAAAAAAATAATATTGGATTTCAAAAATATTTTCTTTTAAATAATTCAAAAAAGAAAATATTCTTTATTTGCATTTTGCTGATGCAAATTTTCCAATTACAGTGGGAATATTATTAATATTATAAAAATATCAATATTTAAATTTTATTATTAATAACAACAAATAGTAATCAATAAATTAATAAAAAATATATTATTTTTTATAAAATAAATTTTATAAAATAAATAAAAGTTTCTGTTAAAAAATTCAGTAGAAAAATATTTTCCTTTAATATTGAAATATAGAGATCAATCATAGAATTGGAAAAAAGCAGTGTAAATTTGAGAAAAAAAATTCTTTTATTCCACGACTTTTGTTTCAAAGGATAAACTAATAAAGTTCAAAGGTTTTCTTCTATATGCGATATACAATATAATAAATAACACTGTCGCACGTTACTTTTAGTTGAAACACGTTGTAACAATGCCTTGTAATTCTACCGTCCTTTGCAACATAAAACCATATACTGCTTATAATGAGACAAATTTTTACGAGTTTCTCTCTAAAAAATAATATATATATTTACAATATATATATATACGAATACTTGGAAAAGTTCTGGAAGAAGAAAAACCATTATCTTATATTCAAAAACATGAAATTTTAAATAATTTTAAATATAAAAAAAAGATTAAAAAATATTTTGCTTTTAACATTATTAGAAATTTAATTAGTAAAGATTTATATCCATAATTAAAAATTACTGAATATTTTCTATTATTTTTAATAATTACATTTTTGTTTCTATCCTTATTATTACTTTATATTTTACATGTGAAATATAATAAACGTAATAAATAAATAAAAATGATATTTCTACATATAAAAATAAATTATAATAAAAATAAATAATAAAA